AATTACAATATTGGATGATTCAATCTTAATTGATAAAATATTTGTTTTTTAAAATAATATTCATTGAAATCTATTAAATGAGTTGTAGTGGTTAGAACTAAAAAATTCAAAGGTTAATTTTTATTTCCTCAGAATTGTTAATTATTATTTTTTCGATCAGCATATGATATGTTAGTAAAAACTTAATTTGAATCAATAATAAGGGTAATATGAAAATATATATTAATTTAAGGAAAAAATTAAATTTTAAAAAGGTAATAATTTTAAGCTTCATTATTAATTATTTAATTATTAATGTTTCGGCTAATGTTGATAATTAAAATATATAAAGATAATTTATATATAAAAAATAGCGAATCAATTTGGAAATTGAATAAGAAATTTTTAATAAATACAATTATTTCTAAATAATTTNCAATTTATTCATTGAAGAAAATAGAAATTTCTTTATATTATATTTTGGTATTTTTTAATTAGACAGTATTAATATACAAATTAATATGTATTTACTTAAATTAATAAGTAAATACAATACAAATTACTTTTCATTCTGTTTAATGATATTATACAAATTATTTTCATTCATTTTTAATTTAAAAGTAATATTTTCCAAATTATTTTTTATTCTCTTTAGTAGATAAGTCGATATAATATAAAGTATTTTTCATTTATTTTTTTTTTAATATATTACACATATTGTTTTTCATTCTCTTAAATGAATCAGTAAATTTTATTCAATATATTTTCGATACTTTTAAATTAATAAGAAAATATGATAAAAGTTATTTTCTTAATTTATTAAAAATAGATTTATTAAATGTGTACATATTAATAAATCATTATTTAAGAATAAACAAAAATTAATTTTATGCTTTATTAACATTTTCAAAGAATTAAATAAATTATGAAGACTTAAAATTAGTAAATTAAAAGCATATAAATATTTACGAAGAATTAAAAATTTTAATGTTAATATGCTTTTTCCTATTTAGTTTATTAAAAAAAACATACACAATCTTCTTTTTTAATAATTGGTTCAAGAAAACAAGTTTTTTTTAATTTATTGAGAATGAAGGTTATACATAAATTCATTTCTTACATTCATCTTTTGATTTCTAGTTGAAAGATTATGGGTTCAATTTTTTAATTTTTGATATATACAAGATTTTTCTAAGTTTCTCTAAGTTTAAATTACATTTATTTTTGTTACAAATAATTATTTTAATATTTATAGTGACTTACAGAAGGGAAGCCTAACATTTTTAAATGGTATGTTGGTGAATGATTTTAAAAACAAATATCCGACTCTTTATTATTAAATTTGGTGATAGTGGGGAATCTAAGGGTACCTAATAAAAAGGTGATATTTTTCATTCGTTAATGAGCATATGTAGTATTAATTTTAGTAAATAATTTATAAAAAAATAAACTCTAAATAATCCAAGATTTCCTTAAAGCTTATGATTTCAAAAAGCTTCTCCTTATCGATACTATTAAACGCATTACTAAATTCGATAAACATATAATCCTTTTTATCTTTCTTCTTAAACTATTTATCTTATTAATTATATTGATGACGTTAATTTGAGATGAAGAAAATGGTAAGAATATTTTTTGTACCTTCGATAATTTTAGTCAAATACATTTGGAGCTCACATCGAAATCTTAATTCCAAGAATTAACAATTATTGATTAGAATAAGTCACCATTTTCAAAAAAGTTGTTTAATTATGGATAATTGATTTATATTCTTCAGAATTAATTATGATTCTCTAAAGTTCCTCTTGTTAAAATTATATACCTTTTTTTTTTTTGAGGATTAAAATTTAAAATTAATTTTATTTAGTAAGATAAAAATAATTATAAAATTTATTGATTTACAGATTCTATTTGGGAATATATATGATCAGTTCTATTCTTTATTTTAGCATTCATTTTTTATTTTATTAAAGTATGAACATTAGGAGGAATAAATTCATAAAATAGATCAAAAGGTTTTTATTTTATAATTGAAATCACAAATGATAATTGTTAAATTTAACCTCATTGCAGAAATACTTATTGTTTAGTTCTGGATATAATTTTCAATTTATTCTCCTATATTTTTAACTGATGAATTAACACATATTTGAAATTAGATTAGATATCTTCTAGGGATTTTTATTCGTAATTTAAGATACTGAATAATATTTATCACTCTTAATTTGATTTTTGCCGAATTTTTTAAACATACAATTGTCACTTTCGAACAGGGTTCTAAATAGAGAATACTCAAAATTATTACCATAAACAAAGTTATTTTTTTTTGCTTTAGAAACAAGGATTTTTTGTTTCAATGAGTTAAAGAATTTATACTCTGAATTTTCAATCACTCATTTAAAATGATGTCTTTAACAATAGAAAAATATTTGTTTGGAATTTTTTTCTCGCGAATTCTGATTATTAAAATCATTTAATTTACTCATTTATTAAATTAACCTTGACGAGTTTTAAGCTATCATATTATCTAATAAATTTAGAGAAACATAAATTATTGCTAAAAATTTACTATATCAAATGGGTAAGATTTATTAGTATATTTTGAATTTTTTTAATCTAAGATGTTTTTGTTTTCTTAATATAGTGTCCCTAAGGCATCAAGAATAGCGAAATATTTAAAAATGCTTCTGTCATAAATAAATTTTTATTAATTTATTATACTTAAATATACAAAAAATTTATATAATAATATAATAATATATATAGAAAATTATAGTAAATACTTTAATTAAATTAACTTCATATTCTCAATGTTGATACTAATACTTTCAATGAAAAGGAATGAAATTTTAAATGCTGCTCTGATACAAATACAGAAAAATAAATCAGTTTTAGAAATTTCTAAGCATATATAAACAAACCTTATGAAAACTTATTGGTTGATATTTTAATACAGAAGATAGTCTAGCTTGTTAAAAAATTTTATATTTGAATTCTTTCGAATTATATTTGTACATTAGAGGATAACCTTTGATTTTTAACTTTTTCATCTATTAAGTCTAAATAAATACTGCTAAATTATTTAAATACTTAATATTTGATGAAATACAGATTTTGAAGTTGCTTTTTAAAATATCATTAATTATGTAGATTATTTCTTATTATTTTCAAAATATTACATTATTGTTGGTCATCTGTTAATAAATCGCAAATATTCACTTTCATTTTGGAAAACTCTAAATTGAAAAATAATCCTCTTTTTGATAGTTTGATCTCGATAAAAATCAATTTTTTGAATTACACAATTAATGATTTAAAATAATTATAATAATTATTATAATTTACTGTTCTTAAAATTGAATTCAAAAAAATTTATTTAGATTGTAATAATCTTCTTCATCCTAGATTTCATCAGGAATGGTGATAATTTCCTTTTAGATTCCTTTCCTTTCAATAGATAAAAGCTCAGCATCATCCTCATTCAGAATAAAAGGCTCCCTTTTTATATTGAATCGTTAAGTTGACTTGAAATTTGAAAAACCATCTTCTGTTACAAATGGAAGATGTAATTTAATACCAATTGAATGTGATTTTAATATTTCTTCTCTAAATTTAAATGATCTTATTAAGAGATAAAGTCTTGATATTTCATATAATAAATTCATATAACTAAGCTTTTATCTCATTTACTTTTAAACCTTATCATATAATTTTAAATATGCTTTCTTATCTACCTCTATTTGATTTAGACTTATTTTGATTATTTATTATCTCCAATTCTTGATGATCTTAATATTCTAAAACTCTGGATAATAAAAATTTATTAATTCTGTTATTACTTTTTAATTTAAAGAGTGTTAATTTAAGTAAATAATTATATATTTCATCATAAACAATATAGATATAATAGATCCAATATTTGCTAATAGATCTCCTAGATGGGGATATTAAAATATAGTTTTTGTTTAAGTTCCGTTCATTGTAATATATATTGCTGCTAGAATTTCATTTTTATGTGTTAATTTACACCTTTCTGCTGAAAGAGTTTAAGTTTATACTTATGCTCCACTTATATATTCTGTTATTTTGGATGTTCCAAATAATAAATAATCTTCTACTTCATATTTATTTGTTTCAAGAAATGTATTTATATTATAGCAACTCTATTATTCAATTTCAATATAAATATCTTAAACTGTCATTTATTCTGATCCATCCCTGGAATCCAAAGCTGTTGAGTAAATTTATAGACCGAAGTAATTAAATTGTTACTTAAAAAATTATTCTTTTAGTTCAGAAGAAGCACATTTTTCATCTGGTTTCAAATACTTTTCTTAGCACTAAGCTATAAATATATACATTTATTTCGATGTTTGTAAGTATCCATCTGCATAGGAAAAGCCAAAATCTAGTTTAGGTATGTACAAGTTCCCAAATGTTGATTCTGTATAATTTTCAATTATCATAGGTTCAGTTGGATCATAATAATCAGTATACATTACTAAAGGTAATAAAATTTTTGATTTGAAAGGATCAATCAAACCTTCATAAGCTTCATAATATAGAGTGATCTTTCCTGAATTATAATCCAGTGATTAATAATCTGAAACATACCTTGAATTAGAAATCTTTGGACTCATTTAGTTGCTATTCCATAGATAGAATACCCAAAATCCATAAGCCAAACTTGCGGTACAAATTATTAGACTTAGAAATCCCCCTAATGCACTTTTGAATACTGTTTGTTGTTGATTAATACTTTATACAAAAGGAACCCCAAAAATGTCGACATTCTTTAAAAAATTCATATATATTTCAAATCTTATTAATTATTTTTATTTAATAATTTTTTAGATTCTAGTAGAATCAAAGAGTTAGGTAATCTGTTAAATATTATTATTTTTGATTTAGAAAGTTATTACCCTTAAACTCTTCTATTTTACTTCCTATTTCCTATCTCTAAAGAAAATAAAAGAAATATTTCAAAATATATATTTAAGAATATAATTATATGAAAATTCTCATTCAAATCTGATAAAATTCTCAAGAACACTTTAATTCCTAGTTACCTAGTAATTATGATAGCTAGTTTATTTTAAATTTTTAATTGCCTACTTTTCATCTTATGTAAATATCAATACTTCTCCATTATAGTTTAGCTCTTTATGTAAAAGATTCAGCAAATCAACTCCAGCAGTATAATTAATAATAAAATTTTCAATTCTTACCATATCAGTAATAATCCTTAACTAAGATTTTTTTAATAATAATAACCATTTGTGAGAGTTGATCATTTATATTGCATCATTTGTGGAGGTGCAAAAAATTATAGATAATTTATTATTTTAGGTTTCACATTTTTTTGCAATTTAATAATTGTTCTATGGATTATCATCAACCCATAATACTATGTTGTTAGTATTTTTTGCAAAAGGTATCTCTCTCATTGATACAATAATTGGTTGATTATCATCCTATTTAACATTTAATACTCTATAAGTAGAAAATGGCATCATTATAACCTCTTATTCATTTGGATAAACTGAAATTTAAGAGATATCTTTAGAACTTATCATTTCAATTTAAAAAATCATTCCTTCCTTATTACTAAAACTCTAGCCAACTTTTTCTTTTAATGAAATTGCTTGTATATCTCTCCATTGAATGGTTTTATCTCTTTCGTATGTTTTAGCATCTTAAAAAATTTTTTATTCCTCTAAAACCCTTTCCTCTATAGTACTAAGATGATTTTATACCTTCAATTAAACACTTCAGATATTTTTTCCATTATTGATAAGAATTATTTCTTAAATCACAATTTAATTATCTATATAATAGATTGCTTGTCCATAGTTTGAGAGCAATTAAATTATGAATTTTATATTTCTAATAAATACCTTATTTCTATTAATCATTATTTATCTATTCTATTGTATTTGTTAAGTATTAATCTACATTAAAACTTAAATGCATAGATTATAAAAATTGTTTTAATTCTGATAATTCATTTAACCCTATATTGTAAATTTCATTATAAAAGCTTATACTCAATCCTCCTTCTTCTTTTCAGAGCAATAAAATTTCCTAAATTTTAGGTAGTTCATCTATTCTCATATCATAAAATTCAGATTTATACGATTAACCATCAATCAGTATGAGCTTTTTTTCATTTTTATCTTCAAATTATCGAATAATCTTTTACAAATATTTCAATTCAATATGTTTATATAATAATAAATTATAACTAGACTCATTTGTAATTATATCAACTGATATTAAATTAGAATTTGAAGTTATATGTGTACTTTAGTATTGTTATTTTTCCTTATCAATACTTACATCTAACAAAACCTTCATTTATTTTTCACTCTCATAATTTAGATTATAATCTTTAACTGTTTTTTCATCTTCCATTAATATATCTTAATAGTACAATTTTTGATTTTCTATAGGAATACCCATCTTCTTAAAGATTAACACTTTAATTTATTATATTGGCATATCTGGGAAATATTCAATTTCTTTATATTTCCCATCTATTTTAACATAGATAATATTCATATTATGAGCTAGAAATCCAAATACTAAGTAATTGTTTGGATATTTCAAATGAAGATTATAAACATAATCAAATTAATTCAATTTTTAGATTGATATAATATTAATAAAAGTATTATCTTCAAATAATAATTTATCTTCTAATGCTAAATTACTTATTTAGAAATCAGGATGAGGTTCAAATGCTTTCCATCCAGATTAAGTATAAAATGGATGATCAGCTGTACAATCAATTATTCTTGTTTCAGTTTCTATTCTAATTAATTGAATTTTATATTTAGTCTTTGTAGTACCTTAAACTATTCCTGGTCTAAATTCTCTTTATTCATAATCATAACACAATATTTAATCTCCTTTTATTATTTCGCTTATTGGCTTTTATGATTTATCAGCAAGAGTTATAGGAGCATAAAAAGGAAAACAGCCACAACAAATGATTTCACTCATCTCAATTACACTACCATTCCCAATCCCATATTTTGCAAATGAACAATTTCCATCTAATGGCTTTTTTTAGAAGTAAAACTACATTTTATTTTATGTTTATAAAATTCCCTGAAATTCCATCATTAATTCCTCGACTAGTTGATCAGGAGGAACCGTAATAGAAAATGTTTTATTCCGTTATAGACATTTCACCATTAGATTAATTTCACCAAAAGAAAAATTCTGAGAGAGTTATTCTTTTTATTAAGATTGCAAAAATTAATTAATTTCTTTGTGTTTCGTATTTAACATTTCTTCATCTTAAGGATTCTGAAGGGGCTATTATTATTAATTTTAGGTGATTTAATTTTAAACAACTTTATTTTGTTAAAATATCTTTGTATCAATTTTCTCACCTAATTATAAATTAATTTCATCCGCAATTGGAGGTAAATCCATTATATCCTCTATTGGTATTGAGAATTAATGCATAAAAATGAATTAATTATTATTTATAGAATTAAACATTAATATAAAGGTCATAAACCTAATTCTTTTGACCCCGTTAATAAAGTTATTTAAAAATATTCATAGGTGCATATTTAGATATTATAAATAATCATAAGTTGGAAAGATCAACCAAAGGAATAATGATAAGAGGAAATAAAAAGAGAGAGTTGATAAAGTATTGGCAATAAGGTGAGATAAGATAATGTAATGACCATTAAATTCAAAACATATCAAGATTATAGTGATACGGATGTCAAAATAGAAGAAGAGGACACTCAAGGTAGAAAGAATAAAATATTAAAGCAAAAGTATAAGTTAAAGACACAAGAAATAAACTAGTTGGAGAAAACATTTAAGACTTAATTGTAACATTACAGATTAAATAGAAATTATTTGAGATATTCAAATTATAAACTGATATTGAATTTGAAAATCAATTGATGTCATTATTTGGTTAAAATCTTTTTGATGTTTATTAGATTATTACATATAAACAAATATTTATATTGTACTCTCTTCAACAAGGAGGCTTATAGTGTTGAATATGTTGAATAAATTGATTCATATAGTAGATACAAGAAAGTCTTTAACTTTGATGGAATTACAGAAAATGAGGAAAAATAATACTTTATTTTTGGTTATTTTAGAGGAGAATTAGTATTATAACATATTGTTATTCTTACTTTATAGGAATATAATTGATAATATTTTAATAATGTTAGAAAATTCATTCAAGAAGAGAGCTCTTCGAAGAATATCCTTTAGACAATGATTGATATTTTAAAAGTATTATGATTTAATCATATGAATTCAAATTGATTCCAATAAGAAAAGAAGAAAAGATTGAATTATAAGAATTAATAATTAATATACCTCAAAGGATCACCTGAAGATTCAACAACAATGATTAATGTATTACTCTAAGCATAATTAAGAAGATTAAAATTAGAAGGATATTGTTTACATTACATAGTGTACAGGCACATAACGCGAGCATCTAATAAAATATCTTTATAGGAAGAAGAAAGAAATACATGAGAAAATTTTTATGCTATGTCATTCTAGTAATTGGAGAACTCAACAGAAATTAGAATTATAATATGACAAAACTGATTCACAAATTTTCAAATATTGAGATTTAATCATTTGCATAACCTATAACCAGATTTTCATTCAAGATAAACCTTTATTTGAGTTTTGATATTTAAACGAATGAGAAAATTTGTGGAAGATAAGATCCATTTATTATCTTTGTATTTGTTTGAAGTGATCCTTTCAATAAACTATATCAAAGTTATATCATAGAAATGGATATCGTGTAAGAGTGAATAACCAATTGCATTTTAAATTCATATTTAACTAGAATCATTTAATAGATATTACTAATTAATTTTATTGTAAATTTATTAATCAACATCAATATATTGAAAATATTTTCCAAAAGGATTTTACACAATGCTATTGATGAATTACATGAGAGTAAATGTTTAGATGTTGAAGAGGATAATAAATTAGAAGGGTTGTTGCTAATTATTACTATATCAATATTGAAACAGCCAAGAAATTCTGAGGAAAGATTAATTCAAATGGCAAACTCATAGATTTACTATTTATCTTATTTTTGAGTAAAGAATTTGAATACTAATATTAAAATTAATAACAATAATACAAATGCCTTATTTTTATTTAAAAGCTCATTTCACTAGTATAAAATTGAATATTCTGCCTTCTTTCAAAATCTCAGATATTATTGCTGGAGAAGAAATAGTGAAGGAATATATCTTTCAATTCAAGTTATCTTAAACAGAAAAAATAGCTTTTACAAAAATTATGTGATTGGTCCTCATAATCTTAAATACAAGGAAGTGAAATAGTGGGTTTTATATACTAATTGGAACAACAATATAGTATTTGGAAACTAGAAAGATTTATATTAATAAAGCATTAAAGTTAATATCAAAATTCTAAGCTCCTTAAGTTTAATTGTCTAATTTAACTATTTATACCATATTTAATGTATAAATAAGTCTAGATAATATGAATTACAAATTATTCTTATTATTATTGAATAATAGTAAGAATAATGATATATAACAATATTATAATTTTCGTAATTTAATAAATGCATAAATAATTGAATTCGATATCCTTTCTTTCTGCTAATAGCGGATTTTCTGATTTGTAATCTTGTTCTATTATTAAAGGTAATAATTATTATATAGCCAAATCTATTGATTAACATCCAGAATTGATTTAATAGCTTTTTGAAACCGAAAAGCTTCAGAAAACTAAGAATATTTTCTAGGATCCTGTTAATCTAAAAATTCTATAGCATGATCCTGCAATAGGACCAAAATATGAAAAAAATAAAATTGTTTCAAGATCTATTGTTGGAAAACCTGATATTTTCAGAAAGAAATAACCTATTCAAAACAATCATTCAAATTAAGACTTTCATATGCCCACTTAATAGATTAATATGCAGGAATCAATTAGCTTAGCCAAGAAGGAATCTCCATTACAAAGAAGATTGACATAATTAAAAATTGCTTAAAGTCCTGTCAAAATTTCGAAATAAACAAAAAACGAAAATGTAATTACAGGTTCTGAGTTAATTAGTAAAATTGCTCAACTAGAAAAACGATTAATTTAAAATAAATTAGATGAATAAGATTAATTAGATAACATGCCATTTTTAAAAAAATAATATTTATATCGAGACCAAAGAGCTTTGGAGGATTTTGATAAGTAAGAGAAAATTCACTCTGAACTTCTTCTTTCCTTGTCAGCTCGTGTATCTAGAAATCCAAGCTGCTCAGTAATGATGGATTTGTATAATTTTAGAAGAAAACAAGAATATTCAAGTACAAATGATAAAATGAGGCAATTATCAGAAAATAAAAATCAAGAAATTATGTACAAATTTTATAATAAACTAGAGAAATGCAAGAATAAAATTAGATACCATTTTTCATCTGTTCAGATAGATAATAAATTATTAGAAAACCACACATCTTTGAAAAAGATGCAACTATTTCCAACATTTTAAAGCATATGAACGAAGATAAAACATTTTAAAGTTTTACAACTAACAACTTCTTAAAAGAAAAAGAATAAAAATATAAATTGTTAGCAAAAGATAAAATTAAGTTGAATATTGATGAATTGATGGTGGTTGGGCAATCTAAATATGAGTAGGAAATCTCCATAGATCCTAGCCATAAATATGTAATTAAAGAAATAGAAAAACATTAAGGAAATGAAGAAGAAATATTATGACATTAGATTATTTGTTATTTTATGAATATGATGAATTAATCATGAAATTCATTCGTTTTATTGATCAAATCTGGTACAACTTGTAATTTGATCTGGCTTATTTGCCCAAGGACTATTAATAATTACAATAATTTTTACATTGAATATATGACTACTTCATAAATTTATTATTCTAATTAGTTGTTCAAATATCTTAACTTAATATTGTAATTGAATCCAGCTACAAGTTATTCATGAATACTAACTATTGAATCAAATTCAAATCCTTCCATTTGAGGATTAAATTTAGTGTTCACTTCATTGATTGCCTCTTCAATTACAAATTAATTAGAATTACTAAAGTTATTTTCATCTAATTATTTCCATGATCCTGATGCTTGTCTCTTTGATCCTCTTAATTAGTTGAATTATTATTTTGGAGTTTCAATTGCTTTTTAGAATTCAGAAGAAGAACTTGATGTACTAGATTCAACAGGATTATTGCCTAATTGAGAATATTCTCTATTTATTTAAGTTGCTTAACTATCTATTGTAGTTAAATTTCCAGATCCTAAATCAACATTATCAATGTTTGTTTGATTTAATACATTTATGAAAGTAGAATTAATTGATTAATTGACAGCTCCTTCTAAAATCTATTAGTTTATTTGTTTTTCACTTTAAATATCATTTAATGTAACATTGTAAATATTTTCATTAAATGTCGAGTTTGAAACTTGGTTGACATTAGCATGAATTGTATTAGCTGAATTTGATTATTAAGATTAGTAAGATCCATAAGTTCCATTGTTTTATGTAGTGCTGTTATTAGTATTATAGAAAGATTATTAGTTTATTGTTTAATTTGATATGGATTATGTACTATCTTAATATTCACTCATTTATTCGTTTTTGAAAACGTTACTTTGATTTGATGAGTATGTTTTTGTATATTATCCATCTTAATTTGATTATTATGATTAACTCTCATAGGTTTAGTATGAAGATGAACTTGAAGTACTTGTATTATTAATTCCATTTACATCATATTAGTTTTATGTATATTAAGTTTGGTAATTTGTTGAATCTTGTAATTTGCTGCTAGTTGATGAATTATAGTTTCTATCAAATTCTCCATTGAATTATTAAACGTTACTTTAAGAATTAAAGTTTTGATTAGTATATTATTAATTACCAGATTCTGTATTTTGATAAATTTACTCTTACTATTGTTAAGTTTCAGATGAAGATTTATTCAATTATGCTTATCCTTAACCATTATGATAATTAAATTCTCCTTATCCGCTACTTTACTTATCTTGGCCTGTGTAATTGCTAAAGTATTAAAGACCATTTGAATTAACTTATTCGTGTGAATACTAATAATTAGCATTTATTCCAGATGAACTTTAAACTAAAGTACCATAGAATACAGCATTATTATATCCTAAAGAATAAGTATTACCCATAGGTGGCTTGTAAACAACTATACTAAATTACAAAGTAGCATTTCTATATACTATATTACCATTTTAGTCATATATTTTTTCTAAGGTGATCAATTCATTATCATTATAATAGTAATATATAGAATTATTATCTGATTTTGGTTTATATAGATCTGTTTAATTAAAAATAACTATCTATTAATATGACTGCATAGATTAATTATAAAACATAACAGTTTGAGTTGAGTTGGTTAATTAAGATTTAATTTCTTGATTTCTCAATTTTAAGCTTATTTTAGATTGCTAAAGTTTCTATCTGGCTGATGTTGAAAGATTAGAATTATTGGTTGTATTAGAAGTATTACTTGAATTACTATATGTATAGTAATTGGTATTGGTATTTTATTATGGATATGAGTAATTATATTAATAAGGATAACTGGCATTTGTCAAGTTTGTGGTATTGGTTGTATTTGAGGTATTACTAGAATTACTATATGTATAGTAATTGGTATTGGTATTTTATTATGGATATGAGTAATTATATTAATAAGGATAGCTAGCATTTGTCAAGTTTGTGTTATTGGTTGTATTTGATGTATTACTAGAATTACTATATGTATAGTAATTAGTATTGGTATTTTATTATGGATATGAGTAATTATATTAATAAGGATAGCTAGCATTTGTCAAGTTTGTGTTATTGGTTGTATTTGATGTATTACTAGAATTACTATATGTATAGTAATTAGTATTGGTATTTTATTATGGATATGAGTAATTATATTAATAAGGATAGCTAGCATTTGTCAAGTTTGTGTTATTGGTTGTATTTGATGTATTACTAGAATTACTATATGTATAGTAATTAGTATTGGTATTTTATTATGGATATGAGTAATTATATTAATAAGGATAGCTAGCATTTGTCAAGTTTGTGTTATTGGTTGTATTTGATGTATTACTAGAATTACTATATGTATAGTAATTAGTATTGGTATTTTATTATGGATATGAGTAATTATATTAATAAGGATAGCTAGCATTTGTCAAGTTTGTGTTATTGGTTGTATTTGATGTATTACTAGAATTACTATATGTATAGTAATTAGTATTGGTATTTTATTATGGATATGAGTAATTATATTAATAAGGATAGCTAGCATTTGTCAAGTTTGTGTTATTGGTTGTATTTGATGTATTACTAGAATTACTATATGTATAGTAATTAGTATTGGTATTTTATTATGGATATGAGTAATTATATTAATAAGGATAGCTAGCATTTGTCAAGTTTGTGTTATTGGTTGTATTTGATGTATTACTAGAATTACTATATGTATAGTAATTAGTATTGGTATTTTATTATGGATATGAGTAATTATATTAATAAGGATAGCTAGCATTTGTCAAGTTTGTGTTATTGGTTGTATTTGATGTATTACTAGAATTACTATATGTATAGTAATTAGTATTGGTATTTTATTATGGATATGAGTAATTATATTAATAAGGATAGCTAGCATTTGTCAAGTTTGTGTTATTGGTTGTATTTGATGTATTACTAGAATTACTATATGTATAGTAATTAGTATTGGTATTTTATTATGGATATGAGTAATTATATTAATAAGGATAGCTAGCATTTGTCAAGTTTGTGTTATTGGTTGTATTTGATGTATTACTAGAATTACTATATGTATAGTAATTAGTATTGGTATTTTATTATGGATATGAGTAATTATATTAATAAGGATAGCTAGCATTTGTCAAGTTTGTGTTATTGGTTGTATTTGATGTATTACTAGAATTACTATATGTATAGTAATTAGTATTGGTATTTTATTATGGATATGAGTAATTATATTAATAAGGATAGCTAGCATTTGTCAAGTTTGTGGTATTGGTTGTATTTGAGGTATTACTTGAATTACTATATGTTGCAAAGTTATAGGATGGTTAACCACTTTCATATGTATAATTATAGGTTGAATTAGGATAAGAAGTGTTTGTATAATTATATTAAGTTTTATTCACTGTTGTAAAGAATATGGACTTGATGGTGGAATCATCTATTTTAAACAAAAATGTACTTATTTTTTCATTTCCTGGGATTTCAGCTTTTTGTAAACTTGTTGGGTCCCCACTTTATAGAATTTACATTATTTCCTCTTTAACTTAAATGTTATTCTTCATTTTATTAAGTAATTATTCAACAGAATCTTGTCTTGCCGAAGAGCTGACTATCAACAAAATAGCAATTAATGACAAAATTTTCATTAAAAATAATATTAATAATTTAGAATTTGATTTGGCGATTTTACATGGAGCAAATCTTATTTTATTTATTTAATAAATTATTTCTAAATTTTTTTAATAACTATATTAAAAAATTTTTTATTTAAATATCACAAAGTATAATATAGAAATTACTTTAGATAATTTTCTTACATGTTTTTATTCTCAAAACCTAATCATTAAATTAGAAAACTTTGGAAATGTCTTTTAATTAGAATCTCAAATTAAATTAGAGGACATTAATTTTCATAAAAATTTCGAAAAGAAGCAACAGGTTCTTTGAAATTTCAATTGTCTTACATTAAGTGCCCAATCACTATTGCTACATTATTCTTATGCTTATTTTTTTATTTTCCGAATTATTTGGACTCCATTTTCTTAAATATAATTT